TACAGCTCCTGCAGCCTCCCGCCCGCTGCCGGCAGCCCCCTCCCCACCTCCCCCCGGTGTCCGAGGGGTTTGATCATCAGCGGGTTGGTTGGTTCTTGGTTGGGTTTGGTTTTTTTTGGTTCGTTTATTATCGTTATATTATTTTTTTTTCCTGAGGTGATTAAACGTGAAATTACCAGTAATTCGTCGGGTCTAATGGAGTTATCTGTATAAATGCACAGTTTTTCTGCGGTCAGAGGAATAGTTTCCTTCATTTTTGAAGCCACAAACATGCAGGTAGCTCCCAGCAATTGCAATCGGCTCTTCTTGAGAGGTTCAAACGACAAAAATCTGTCCAAATAATTCATAGCCAAGGGGAAAACTTCCTCTTCGCACTTCTGCTCCTCGCAAACCTGCAAGAAGGGAGAGAAATCGTTGACGAATAATTTAATATAAAGCAAAAACCGGGCTTGTCCCGCCGCCCTCGTCTTCCCTCCCCCCCTCCTCACCCCCAGGCTTTGCAGGGCAAGGTTGAAGGGAGACGAGGGAGGGAAACGCAGTTGAAGGAAACGGATAAATGAGGGGAAAACAGAGCAATCAAAGAAAATGAAAGAGAAAGTCACGAGTGACAAAGTAGGAGAGAAATGTGGCATTAGAAATCCGCAGGCGATTCATGGTTAAAAGTAGAGGGAGGGGGGCTGTGTGTGTGTGTGTGTGTGTGAGTGTGTGTGAGGGGGGAGGAAAATCCAAGAGCTCTGTCCCCATCTTTCCAGCCCCCTAGGACAGATTTTTAAAAATTAAAAGAAAAATGAAAGCGGAAAAAAATACAAGCTCCCGTGTGTGGGAGAGGGGTGCAGGGCTGGGTTTGCCCACGGATTGATTTCTTTCGCTTTTATTTATTATTTTTTTCATCTTAATTCGCCGTTTGTTGCTGCCGATTCCCTTCTCTGGTCGAGACACAAAGGTGGCGTCCAGCCTCATTTCCCCAGACGTCATCTTTTCAAAAAATATTTAAAAATATTTAAAAAATCATTCGAGCTC